AGGCTTGTGTCCTGAGGTTACCAGGAAGGACTTTGCCTACTTCTAAAAAATTATTTAAAGAATTGAAATTACTACTTGGAATCTTTTATTGCTCCATATTAATATTTTACCAACAAGTTTCTTTTGATAACATATATATTAGCATTTTCTTCAGACACAGCAGCTGACTATGTACGTACTCATACTGAGCCAAAAACATCCACCTGTGTGCACTTGTAACAGTTTGTTCTGCTGGATCGTATAATATATCCCACTTTTCCAAACCTGGCATTTTTCATACATGATTGATTACTGCTGCTTGATTACTGCTTGATTACTAATCCATAGTCAGCATGGCTAAACCTTCAGGGTCTTTTTCTTTGGTGGACAAATTAGTATTTAAAGTATTAAACTTTAAATCTAGCTCTTAGATGACTCAGTTGTGAAAAAAGAAAATATCCTTTGACGCTTTTGGCTCCTAGGTAGCGTATTTTGGAGGTGAGATCTAGGACTCACAGATCAGCTCGTGGGAGTTCACGTGCAAATTAATGTGATGAACTCTAGCATAGTACCTTCAAAACATTCCATTTTCACAGAATGGTTGAACATTTGTGTTAAGAATTCCTTTCCCACAAGACCCTTGGATGTTACAGATCATTCTAGGCTGAAAATTCGTAAGGGGCATTGCACAGGCCATTTGTGTCTCACTGTTGCTCTACTCAAGTTGAGGAAGCAAATATTATACACCAAGCAGTTACAGGTTGGGACAAAGACTTAACATTGGGGAGCTAATTCTTTTCCATAGAAGTGTAAATACTGAGAAATCTTTTAACTGAGAAACTTCTGATAAGCCTCCAAGGAGAAGGCTCCATGTTTCCTAAAGCAAAATTTACCTGAAAAGTAAAGAGAACTGAATGTAGTTCAGGGAAATAAAGACCTAATCTTCAATCTTTTGCATTGCTTTCTCAGATTGCTCTATTTATTCCAGATGTTGAATTTAAGCAGAGAAACTGTTGATCAGGATAAATTATTAGAGAGGTATAAATACCAAACAAATAGAGGTGCCATAAGGAATTCTTCCCCTCATACACTCACACACACCTGTCCTGTACAATGTATCCAGGAAATATACAACAATAAACTATATATAAAAAAACATTAAAATAAAACAAACTTCAAAAAATGGAATCCTAATCATGGGCTGTAAATGTATACAAAAGCACATTTGTAAATTCACAAATGGCGAGACAAATAAAACTGTAACAGATGGTGCATAATTTATTTCTGAGGCTGGGGGTAGTCCAGAGAATTGGCACAAAAATAAACACAGTACATTAAAAATCAGGTTCTAATCAAGGATACTACTTTAAGAGACTTTAAGGACATGTTTTCTCTCAACTTGAAATTGACTAGGTTGGAGACAGAAGTTATTTTGACCTAGGACCTTGTTTCCAATCACAAAACAAAGAAAGGAATAATAGAAAGAGGAGAGGGAGGAAAATAGGAAGGAAGGAAGGAAGGAAGGAAGGAAGGAAGGAAGGAAGGAAGGAAGGAAGGTAGGTAGGAAGGAAGGCAGGAAGGAAGGAAGGAAGGAAGGTAGGTAGGAAGGAAGGCAGGAAGGAAGGAAGGAAGGAAGGTAGGTAGGAAGGAAGGCAGGAAGGAAGGAAGGAAGGAAGGTAGGTAGGAAGGAAGGCAGGAAGGAAGGAAGGAAGGAAGGTAGGTAGGAAGGAAGGCAGGAAGGAAGGAAGGAAGGAAGGAAGGAAGGAAGGAAGGAAGGAAGGAAGGAAGGAAACTTCTGAGCATAAACATGAGATAAGTAACATAGTACATACTTATACACAGTATACTGGTGGCCAAAGAAAATGTCTTCTAGGTTATGGGGCTGCAGCTTTCAGATCACCTTAAAATTCAGCACCTTTGTTTTTAGAATTAAATACTGTCCTGAAATGGATACACGACCTACTGAATCTATAGCATTTTGGATCATTTTTCACTGTGCAAATTGATCTGTTGCTTTTTGGGATTGTTTAAAGTGGGAACTTTAGACAAAGTTATATAGAGTTATAAAGTAAAATAGAGAGCCAGTTTGGTGTAGTGGTTAAGGCATCAGGCTAGAAACTGGCAGACTGTGAGTTCTAGTCCTGCCTAGGCTCAAAGCTGGCTGGGTGGCCTTGGGCCAGTCACTCTCTCTCAGCCCTAGGAAGGAGGCAAGGGCAAACCACTTCTGAAAAACCTTGCCAATAAAACTGCAGGGACTTGTCCAGGTAGTCTCTGAGAATTGGATACGATTGAACGGATTAAAAAAAAAAAAGTGGGAACAGTAAATCCAACTTTAAAAATTGGGAAAAAGATGGTGATATGGAAAAACTGGATGGAAGTGGGGAATATTGACTTTGGATCAACTGATAGATGATGAACATACGTTGTGTTAAGAGATAAATATCATCTATCAGATGTTACCCAATGGCAATGTTTACAGCTACAACATTTGTTAAGAACATTGTTTGGACCAGTAGCATTTTCAGCATCTGAGACATCTAAGATACTAGAACAACTTGTTAAATCCTTTAAAACTAAAAGCCTACCATTAGTTTTTATAGATACTTGTTATGAATACATCAATTTGATATGCAGATTCTAAGAAATGAGTGGAACAAAGAATTAGAGGTTCCTATATTGCCTAGACAATGGGAGAGTGTTTTAACTTCTATAGT